CCAGACCTCTCCACTGATTCCCTACTGTAATTAGCCTTTTAATTTCATTAGGGTCCATTGTAATTTCCCTGGTTTCATCCCTCATCCTTGCTAATGAAATGTATTCCTTCCTTTCTTTAGTTTACCAATGGTCTATCAATTCTGTTAATACTTTCAAAGAACCAGCTTTTAGCTGCATTTGGTTTGTTTTCCCTCTCCTGTATCACAGCCCTGATGGCGAGGAGTGTGTTGTTTTTTAGGTAGTGTGTGATCAACTGTATCTGAGAGGAATTACTGAGAGGTGAGCGGTAGGCATACATAATAGTGGGACATCTGTGGGAAAAGAGGAAGGAAAAAATGTGTATTTACATATGTATATATAAGCATATGTAACAAGAATCATATGGACTATGGGTTTCTACTTAAATCTTGCCTCATTACAAGAATGGTTTGTTCTAATAATGCAGCATTGTATGATACTCACCTCCCTGACATGATCGCTGAAGACAAAATGTGCATATAAGCAAGTGTGGTGAAGAAACTGATGGTGCGGAGCTATCAAAGGATACAGTGTCTGAAGTCTTAAAGGATTGTAATAAAACAAATGACCATCTAGCTAGGAAGCAACAAAGCCCACATGCAAGTACACCAGCCTGTGTGATCATGAGGTGTCAACAGGATGAGGTAGCAGAAGTTCAAAAACAGGCAACCAAATCATTGTGAAGGGGCATGGTTGTAGTGGAGACCCAAAATCTACCTGCAAAATAATCAATCAGTCCCTCTCAGAAGGGCCACACAGAAGTGACAATAAATCCAGGGTGCAGTATGGCACTCATGAAACACACATCTCTCCTCTAATTCTTTACGGTTTCCTCTCCTTATTATTAAGGTCTTAATGTGTTATACCTCATTGTGTTCATTTGTATGTTTAAGATTGCTCAGTGCATCACAGTCAACATAGGTGACTCCTCAGACAGTGGCAGGAGTAATGGTTCCCTAGGGTCTGGGAAATAAGGGAGAGGGGGCAAAAGGGGAGTTGATAGTGTTGATAGTTGTTTAACCCCACCCAATGGGATCAAACAATAGATTTGTATGTGAACATATTTGAATGTGTTAAGATATGTCAATAAAACTATTTTTAGAAATCTCAGAGCAGAAAGAACTGGAACAGATAGGGACACCACAGGCAACTTGCTTTTATTGATAATGTTACATTTTATTAAATATCTATACATAAAACTGAAAAAAAAATTTTCTGTGATGATAAAGGCGCTATAACAACACGTGGTGAAACATTTAGATGGTACCTGGGTCTCAGATAAAATAACGTCTGGGGTCTTAAAGGCTTGTCTCCAAACAAGCAGTCATCTAAGTGAGGTGAACTCAGTCCACATGGAAGAAGCACACCATCACCAGACCCTGAAGGATTGGAATCAGTATCAGAGCCTAAACTGTGAGAACCTGGTGTGCAGGTGATGGATAACAAGGGAGCCCAAGGTTCATTTGTGGAACTACATATCTAAAATTGAGCAATGGGAGGAAAGTGGTCACTAAACGGAGTGCTTGGGAGAGAGGATTATAGATTAAAGGCATTAATCTGAACAGTTAAAACTTTATCAGCAGATCCTATGATGCAGGCTGACCACGATCTGGCTTCCATAATTTTCTATATATTTGGTTTGTATTTTGTTCGGGTTTTTTTGGTTCATATTAGGTGTATCTCAGATGTGTTATGTCAATTGAAGCTGTTATGTTTTCTCATTTCTCGGTATATGAAAACCAGGATTGATGACCCTATAGGGACAACAAGTAGAATAAGGGGAGAGGGGGAAGAGGGGTATAGTTGTGGTGGGGGGGGGTACAAGGGAGATGATGTCAAAGTGTCCATGTAGAAAAAGAATGTTTGTAAACTGATGGTGGTAGCAATTGTACATTCTACTCGATGTGATTGAAAATATACAATGATATATGTATTAAATTCCAACTAATTTTTTGTAAAGGAAAAACAATTATTCTGTGCAATAAAAAAAGAAAAAAAAAGTCAATGGGTCTAAGGAGAATTGTTCTAAGATTCACTTTAGATACCAAATGGTTATTCTTGTTTAAAATATATCATAAATTTCTAATCTTGTGTTAGGCTGGATTGAGTAGAGAAACAAATCAGTGATATTCATGTATGTGTAAGAAAGAGCTTTATATCAGGGTATAATTATATATCAAGAAGACATCCCAGCCCAGTCCATCTCAAGTCCGTATGTCTGATCTAGTCCGTACGTCCCTTTTCAAACTCATGCAGCGACATGCAATGATGCGGAATGCAGGAATAACCTGAGCTGGTGGGTGGAAAGTCTTGTGGATCTAACAGTGGTGACAAGGTTCTGGCAGCAATCAGGATCAGGAAGGTGAAGGGAGAGCAAGAGGGGGGCGGGGCGGTTCACAGGACCCTCCTTATGAGAAGACTACATCCACAAGGAGGCACCATCAGGCTGTGACCTGACTGACAGGTTGAATGTCACCTCTACACTTCTATATATCTTCAAATTGACATGAAATTATGTAACTACCACAAATCCTACATTACATTGTACTGAACCAATGAACCGAATGAATCTTCATACCCGCCCTTTCTATGCTCTTTTTCATCCTATAAACAGAACTTGTATGTCTAAGGAATTCACCCCTTACCATCCACCATGACCGGCCCCTCCCCCACTAACTATGGCTCAGAACCTGAAGCTGTAGCTTCAGAGAATTATCTAATGTTTACCAGTTTCAGTTATGGAATCCTTTAAGCTATTCCTTAAATAAAGAAACCAGTGGGTTTGCATGCCATTTACTTAAGACAACTTTCCTGTCCGACTGCTTTCCCTCTCAGTCAATACAAAACCTTATGTATCAGTTTTCTTAAAGCTAGAACTTTTTAGAATGAGCCTATGATTTGAGACCCACCGCACTGACTCTAAGTTCCCTTCCCTTCCACCTACCTTAACCTCCATGTACGAACTGTCCACAGACTACTTCCCCAACTTGGGTCAAGCTTGCATTCCATCATGTTACTACTCCAATCCAGTTATTCCAATCCTTATCAACACTGCCCTCCTTCACCTTCATTAGGTCTTTGTCCAAACTCTACTTTAAACACTGAGCAAACACACTCAACTCATATACCTTCCGTTACACTAATGTACCAGCAGGAAGTAATGTAAACCCTATTCCACAAAACAGCCACAGCATACCATCCCCACAGCACTGAGCAAATGCAAAGGACACAGTGCTAACTAACACTGTCTCCTGTTGGAAAATTTAAGCACCACCTGGAAAGGCCTGTGAGTTCTTGAAAGATTACAGTACTTGCTTACTAAAAATATTTATCTGTTTAAAAGTCATATCAACAATTTTAATGCATTCCTTCAATAGGGCATTTTTCCCATGGCTTTCAAAATTTCATCTCTTTCTGATGCTGTAGGCATAGGTGGCTTTACTCCCTTCTGTCTTCTCTCAACCAGGATAGAATTCTACATGTAGGTATTAAAAAAAAAAAAAAAGGAAAAGAGCAAATTAGAATTAGTTATATATGGATTAGTTAATTATTTGCCAGTAATTTGTTATTGCTATCTCAAAAATGAAATTCTACAACCAAGTTAAAAAGTAAAACAAAAGGCTTAATTCTGGGACACCAGACAAATGTTTTCAAATTATTAACACATAAATACAAATCATTAACAGTAATTTGGATGGATATATACTATGTAACAAGAGTATCTAGTCTATCAAGAAAAAGATACTGAATAATTGCCATATAAAGCCAAGTCAATTTAGCAAAGGCCAAAGAAGTAGCTAGAACCTGTGTGTACAGAAACTAATTATTCACCAAAGTCTCAGAAAAAAAAAAAGAGACCATTAACTACCATGGGCCACAGTGGAAGGGAAGAGGCAAGCGAAGGCAGGGAAAGTTACACACTTTGTAGGAACTTTGAAAATTATTAGATTACTGCTTTACATAGTCAATGTAGATGACCATAGGAGATCGAAATGATAAACCTGACTTGAACAGTTAAGACCTTGTCAGTTGATTCCCTATCCCCATACATGTTGGGCCTGATCTGGTCTTCAACATTTTCTATGTTTTTTCTTCATATTGGGGTTTAGCTCTGACAGATTTTGTCACTGGGGATAGCCCTGCTGAATTTTTGTTATACATTGTTCTTTTTTAGTTTATGAAACCCAGGATTGATGAACCTATAGAGACAGCAAGTAGAATAACAGTTTCTTGGGGATACAGAGGGAGAAGGTGGGGGGCAAAGGGGAGATGATCCCAGGGAGTTTAAGAAAAAAGGGAATGTTTTGTAACTGATTGTGGTAGCAATTGTACAATACTGCTTGATGTGACTCAACTATGGAATGTATGATATCTGTGTTACCTCCCAATAAAAAGGATTTGGGGGAAAATTTTTTTTTTTAAAGAGTACCATTTTAGGGATACTGATACTTACCTACCCAGAAGAACCCACCTACATTAGAAATACATTCTTAAAGCTTTGGAGTAGAATGAAAGGGTTAAAAAAAAGTTCTCAAGGTGAATAGCTTTAATATCAAACAAATCCATTTTTAAAAGGATTTTAACCAGCTGTAGTTAGGCTAGGATGTAACATCTTGATATCAGATCTCCCTTTTGACACATTTTGAATTTTTTCTGTTTTTTAAAAGCTTTTCTTTCTTTTCCATTGAAGTATTCCTGTTTCATTTGTTCACTGTTGCTGGGTACTTTTTTTTCCCATTTTTGTCTGTACGCTTTCCTGTATAGAGAAGTCGGGATGGGTGGATCTATGAAGGCAGCCACAGGATTAATAATTACCTGGGGACATGGAAGGGAAGGTTGGGGATAAATAGGGAGTTGGCATCAGTGGGCACAAAAAGGGGGAAAATGTTCCAAAGTTGACTGTGGTGATGACTGCACAACCCGTCTTAGTATGACTGAAGTACTGAATTGTATGCTTTGTTAATTATATCTCAATAAAAAATTTTACAAAGCTCTCAAGCACACTTTAGAGCTAAAGGATACAATTGAAAGTTTCAGTTTCATTACAGCCAGTTAATAGAAAAGGATAATGGTTATTAATTTTAAGCTTCAGTTTCAGGCCTAAAACATGGAGTTTTATAACAAAGCTAAGAAGCCAGGCTTACCCAGAATCTCCGGCAATTTTTGTACTTCAAGAAGTAAGCAGAACACCTTTCCCTGTTATAGTTATTTTCATCCAGACATCTGGTAGACAAGTCAGATTCCTTTAACAGGCAAGATGAGTATCATTTAAGGGTTGGAATGAGAGCTAAAAAAAGAATTCTGAAGCTGTATTGTCGTCCCCTCCCAAAAAAAAGAACTATGTCATTCATTTCTTTAATCGGCTGACACTAATGAAAACTGAATGAACTCCCAGCCCTCATCCTGCTCAGGGCAGACATCTATTGGATCAGTTTTCTGTATACCAAGCCATAGGAATTTGAGTTAAGGTACCCACTGAGATCATTTAATGTAGTAAGTATTTAACAGAGAAACTGAGGCCAGGTACAATCTGCTCAAAATCACTGCTGCACACATAAAATGAGTAGCCCGTTTCCTAATTCATAGCCCTGCTCCTGCTTTTCAATCAAGTTCTCACCCTGACCCAAATGTGTGATCTTGGGATCGATCTGGAGATTCCAGCGGAGTCACCTATAGTCTACTTCAAGGGACCCTAGTTTAACACCACTCATCACAATGTCCTTTGACTATAACTCATCCCATTATATGAGTTTATACATTATTATATAAGGAATTTTAATAGATATAATTGATATCACTTGCCCTGAGTTCATAGGGCAGTCGCCATTTGGAATTAAATTTAAGCTGTTTGAACTGGATGCATGCTGCATAACAAACTTCAAAATGAAAGGTGTGATTCTGAGAAATCATAAAAAAGCTTCAACTAACAGGTAATTTGTTTTCATAGCTCTAAGAAACATGTCTGTCTGTCTAAACATTTATTTATCATAAAAGTGGTTCAAAAGTGATTGAATATTCAGAACAAAACTCAATTTCTATGAAAAAAATTTAATAAATGCATAGATTTGGGAAATGCTTATCAGATTAGGGAGCAGAGTTTTCATAACACCAGGGTGAGAACCGCATTAGTCAAAGCTGGAAATAGCCACAAGTATTGCAGGTCATATCAAATAAATGCCAATAACAACCTACTATTACAACAAAACCCTTTATTAATATTTTTTTTGAAAACCTTCAACTTTCAATAAACTAATTCTTATCAGCCAGTTACTTTGTCTCAAGGACATGAAGAAATTCTGACATAAAGACATAACTTTCAGTGGCAGTTAAAAAAGTCACATTTCCAATTTTCCATGCTTGGGTTAAAGATTTCTTCAGTGTTACATATGCCTGACTAGTATTACAGGGATAATTAATCATAGGCATATTATAGAAATAAGAGAAACTAAGGAAGAGACAAATCTTTAGTTGTTGGCTAAATTTTGAATAATAATAATAATAATAATAATAATAATGCTCCAGTGAAATAGGAGCATTTCAGGGCTCCTTGTATATGTGTCCACTGGTCAGGAATTTTTTTTGCACAGAAATATCTTTATGCAACTACTACAAAAAACAGATATGCAAAATTAGAAGGTTATTCTTCCAACTTAACACTCATGAAAATTAAAAGCCAACCTACCGACAAACACGGGTTTATGTCAGGATCTCTTAGCCTCCGAGTTACCATAGGCATGCTAGCAGTCTTCTGAAAGATTTCAAAAAGAAGTTATACAATGCACAAGAGAAAATAAATCACATTACTCTCATAAGTAAATGAGAATTAATTTTGATGTAATGATTATCTAGTAAGAATTCTATGTACTCTATATTTTGAGAATAAAGACGTTGACATGTTTTTCATTTCATCTTCTGAAATCTGATTAGAATGTTAACTAAAAGCATGGACGACTTATGCTTATTCTAAAGTTTAAGCAGCTAACAAAATCTAAAAGATGGCAGACACTCTAGTGATTACTTCCTTATGAAATGTTGCATAGCAAGCAAAATAAGCCTGGAGTAATTTAGTACAATGAAATATTAGTAAAAAACATGTATTACCTAATGTACCTAAATGCCTACTCAATGGCCCTATAAGAAAAAGCCAAATAATTGCTTGACATTTTCAAACCCATCATGTGTTATTGTTTTTAAAAGAACTTTCAACGGTATCTTCTACCTCTACTACATCTGTTGCCGGAAGGAAGTCAGAAAATGCGACTGCGGTTCAGTTATCTTCCAACTGAAGTCTTAGAGGTATAACTCGGCAAGCCTTTATTGATTAAACATAAATCACAATTCACCAATGTCTATTGGTTATATAAATCATGTAATAAGTATGTAAACTATGTAAGTGTCAATTAAAGTTGGTATTCCTATTTTCTTTTTAAAAAATTCTTAAAAATAAACTATTTTGTTTTAACGAGCCACAACTTACTACTAGAGTCAATTCCTGCTCATAGCAACCCTACATAGGGGTTTCTGAAATTGTTAAATCTTTACAGGAGCAGACAGCCTCATCTTTGTCCCTCAGAGTGGCTGGCTGGTGGATTTGAACTGCCAAAACTATGTGCTTAGCAGCCCAAGGTGTCATTATAAGTCAGGATAGACTGGATGACAGTGGACACATATACAAGGAGCCCTGATGACACAGTGGATTAAGCAATGGGCCGCTCATCCATCAGCAAGCAGTTCCATGGGGCAAAAAGTTGGCTTCTGGTCCTATAACATGATGCAGTTTCAGAAACACTAGGGAGCCCTCTGCCCTATAGGGTCCTTATGAGTTGGAACTGATTTGACAGCCATAGGTCTACATATATGTGAGGGAGCTTCAAAGAGTTCATGGAAAAATGGAATTAAAAGATAATAGAAATTTCCCACAAATGTTTTGAAGCCCTGCAGTACCTTCTGTTAATGAACCAATAACTCACAAGCATTTGAATATACTCTGGTTAGCTATGAGTCAGGATCAACTCATTGGCAGTGGGATTATGTTTCATACTAAGCTTAAGGAGCTGAACTAACTTGTACTCCTGAACCCTGTTTTAGCTTAATCAATATTCCTCCTAAAGAGAGAAAATCTTACTAAATCGTCTGTGTGACACATGGAACTCCACTGAATAAAGAATATAGTCGTTGGTCTTAGTAACCAGGAGTCAAAATGTATATATGAAAAGATTTTTATATTGCACGCTCAAGATGAAGCCATAAATAAAACACCACACTGAGAAATAAAGTATATTCGCGAAAAATAGCAAAACTCTCTAAATTCTGAAAAAAACGTAAGCATTCTCAATCAAGAGTCACCTACTCCAATTATCTATCAGGTAAAGGACCAAGCTAAAAAAAAAAAAATCAATATTTGTAAAGGATGGAAAAGGATTGAGTCATCCTGGTGTCCTGTGACTTTTTAGTATCCAGTAGGTAATCATTCTGTAGCCTAGGTTGGTGTAGTGGTTATATGTTGGGTTGCTACCTGCAAGGTTGGTAGTTTGAAACCAGCAACCAGTCTGCCAGAAAAAGATGGGACCTTCTATTCCATTAAGTTATTGTCTTGGAAACACACACTAGCAGTTCTTAACCGGTCATATATCATTGCTATGAGTCAGTATCGACTAACTCAGTGACAGAGTAAGTGAGTGAAGAAATCATTCTATTTCATGATTTTCATTACTTTCACTATGTGAAAGTACCTAGTTAACAGTCTCTTTGACAAAAAAGAAATTCAAGATTCCATCCAATTGTATCTAAAAGCGTCCTCATTTCCTGAATATAATTATTTTATAAGCTTGTTTTCTTCCTAGGAGAGATGACCGGCACTAAGTAAATTCGGTTCACACCAATCCTGCAGTACGGGAACACAACTCTTAACTGTTCGCATTTCTGGATATCATCCCAACAATTATATGTAGACAAAAATAAGGCCGCATGCCTTACATAAAAGTGTTTTACCCTGCGAACCAATAGAGAGGTCCGAGGGGTTAGCCCCAATCCCAACTACATGGACAGCCTCCCCTCCCTAGAGAAGAATTCACTTCAGAGGACAGCACTGAAGCTACAGCTCAGGGAGAGGGAATGTCTGATCAGAGCACACTGGAGCAAATGAAGGGGAAGGAAGAGAGAATGGAACACATCCTGACCCACCAAGCCCTGAGGACAATATTCCCGCTGAGAGCAGCCAAAGCAGAGAGGACCACAGGGCCAGCCCCACTACCAAACTCAACATCCCTCACTGATCAATAGCACTCTGGGAGAGAACACTGGAGACACAGTACGGGAATTGTGCCCAATCTAACCCCACCACCCTGATAAGGGCATGCAACAGAACAGCAAGGGGAACAGAGCAACAAAGTCCCCAGGGAATACTAAAAATAGACTTTGGGGCCAGAGAATGGCACCCCATCAGACTCAACTAGAAAACACTCCTAAAGGTCAATAAACAGACCTTGAACTATTTATAGGTTTTTCTTTTTGTTGTTGTTTTGGGGTTGTTGTTTTTTGTTGTTGCTTTGTGCATATTATTATCTCTGCAGGTCTATCTAGATAAGATAGATAGGATAAACAATCCAGAGGAGAAAACAATGGGACTGATGGTTCCCAGGGGGACATGGGGGAGGGGGGAGGCAAGGAAGTGGGTGTTAACAAACTCAGGGACAAGGGAACAAGTGATCTCAAATGGATGGCGAGCATAGTGTAGGTGGTTTGGTAGGGCTTGATCAAGGGTAATGTAACCGAATTACTGAAACCCAAATGAAGGCTGAACATGATAGTGGGACAAGAGGAAAGTAATAGGAAATAGAGGAAGGAATTAGGAGGCAAAGGGCATTTACAGAGGTCTACATATAGGTACATATGTACATATGTAAATATATTTATAGATAATGATAGGGAAATAGATCTATGTGCATATACTTATAGGTTTCATATTAAGGTAGCAGATGGACATTGGGCCTCCACTTAAGTACTCCCTCAATGCAAGAACACTTTGTTCTATTAAACTGCCATTCCATGACGCTCACTTTCCCAACACCATCGCTGAAGACAGAGCAGGTGCATAAGCAAATGTGGTGAAGAAAGCTGATGGTGCCTGGCTATCAAAAGATATAGCATCTGGGGTCTTAAAGGCTTGAAGGTAAACAAGCGGCCATCTAGCTGAGAAGCAACAAAGCCCACATGGAAGAAGCATAGCAGCCTGTGTGATCACAAGGTGTTGAAGGAATCAGGTATCAAAGAACATATCATTAGGAGGGGGGAAAATGAGGAGCTGATATCAAGGGCTCAAGTAGAAAGCAAATGTTTTGAGAATGATGATGGCAACAAATGTACAAATGTGCTTGACACAATGGATGTATATATGGATTGTGATAAGTTATATAGGCCCCAATAAAATGATTTTTAAAAAATCATATCATTGTGAATGAAGGGGAGTGCAGAGTGGAGACCCAAAGCCTATCTGCAGGCAACTGGACATCCCCTTACAGAAGGGTCACGGGCAGGAGAGGAGCCAGTAAGGGTAAAGTATAGCAATGATGAAACATACAACTTTCCTCTAGTTAAACTTTAATACTTCCTCTCCCCAACTATCATGATCCCAATTCTACCTTACAAATCCAGCTAGACCAGAGGATGTACACTGGTACAGATAAGAGCTAGAAACACAGGGATTCCAGGACAGATAAACCCCTCAGCACCAATAATGAGAGTGGAGATACCAGAAGGGGAAGGGGAAGGGGAAGGTTGGGGAGAAAGGGGGAACCGATTACAATGATCTACATATAACCCCTTCCCAAGGAGATGGACAACAGAAAAGTGGGTGAAGGGAGACATCGGACAGTGTAAGGCATGGAAAAATAATAATAATAATGTATAAATTATCAAGGGTTTGTGAGGGAGGGAGGGTGGTGTAGGGGAGAAAATGAGGAGCTGATATCAGGCTCAAGTAGAAAGAAAATGTTTTGAGAATGATGATGGCAACAAATGTACAAATGTGTTTGATACAATGGGTGTATGGTGGATTATAATAAGAGTTGTATGAGCCCCCAATAAAATGATTTATTAAAAAAGAAGAAAGTGTTCTACCCTGCACGTTACCGTTATCAGTCAGGATTCATTTAAAATAACGCCTGGGGACAAGACATGTACCTTCAGCAGGCTTCCAGCATGATTTTATTCACATTTCATTTCCTTCAGAATTCCAAATACAAGTCAATCTTAGTCTGGATTTCAGAATTCTTACTGTATTACATGGAAATGTCAATTTAGAGTTAGGATCAGCCTGAAGGGCAAGATAGTGTTCTGCTTAAAAGGGCCTAAACAAATGTTACAAGGATTTTCTTGTAGAGAATGGCCGGAAAGAAAGTCAAAGATTTGAGGGAAGGGTTGCAAAACCACAGTACATTTGAGGAATAATTCTAAAACCAACTGGAAAGGACCCAATGCAAAAATGAAGATGAAGAAGAAAGGGGGCAATGCTTATTAAATAAGTATTTCTTTATTTCCCGATCCAATTGTTCACGTCCCCCCTCCCAAGTTAGCTCTGGAAGCGTTCTTGCCCAGTCTGGGCAGAGCCCAGGCAAGGTCTGTGGCACTGCTATAAGGTATCTGCAACTAAGGGGACATCCACCACAAGAGAGCCTAAAGCCCTTAACCCGTGGCTGGGCACAAGCAGTAAAGCCTTCCCAAGTCCAGTGGGTTTGGAGGTCGACTGGAGACCCTGGATATGTGCGCATTCGAGGATTCCCGCGGCTCTCCGCGACGCTGCCTGTCCCCGTCTAAGTCCTGGATGGAGGACACAGGTGAACACACCTTGCTTCGGCCAGGGACGCCGACAGGAGAAGCAGGGACGCAGAAAATTGGAACCAGATTAGCGGTGGGGGGAGGGTAGGAGGCAATTCGGCTTCAAAGGTTGATATCAAGTTGTGGAAATACGAGTTTGCGGCGCCCGGAAGGGCAGGGGTCACCCAGCCAGCCTGTAAGTGGGAAATGACCCATGTCGCGGAAGGAGGTTGGGGGGGAAGGGGTCCAGCCTCGGCGAAGTCCGGAGAGGCGCTTCACGCC